AGAACATTCTTCAACTCAGGAATATTAGAGAAGAAAGGTCTGTTATAAATTACACGTGAGCGCTAACAGGTAAAAATTCGTATTAAACCATAATAAACCAGTAGTAACACAGGTAAAAATTTGAAAGACTTCAACATTCCATAAGATTAGATCACCATCTGTTCACTGTCAAGCAATTTTTTTTTAAAAAATCAACAAATTACATAGATGTATTTCAGATTTCGATATTCTATCAGTAATAATGCTGGTATATCCAGGGAGATAATGAACAGCTCACTAATAAATCATTCAGTTTCAACAATACAACAGCTCCCCCGACCGAAGCTGCTACCTTGACGTGGTGGTCGGGCTTGCCTATCGTGATGACCCAACCGAGCTATACTGGCTGGAACATATGTTCCTGCAGGTCCTACCATGCCAGGCTGGTCGATTGGAGAACGATGAGACTAAAAGCAGCTACCCAAGGTCTGAGGGTGAAGTCGTACTGCTGACTGTGATGGAGGGGTGTGACAGCAGTAAGGTGTTTCCCTCGGACAACCAGCATCTGCAGTGATGCTGCCTTCTCACAAGGAAGGAAGGGTTAGAAAAGGTCGACCCTAAAAATGTCACATCTCCCCTAACTCACGGATTTCCGTCTCCTTGGGTAAGGGTGCCCACTAAGGGCCTTTAAGAACGGAGCTAATCCTCTAAATACCTTTCATAAAAAGGCCGTGCGTGACCGGCCTCAAGCAGTTGTCCCTTGGGCTCTGCGGTCACGCACCAACACTAATCCATCTTCCTTTTCAGGTCCCTCAAGAAACAACCTTCCACCGTGTGGGCAGCCGGGAAGTGACAACCGCCCTCATACCCGTAACAGCGCATACAACACCTCCTAGATCCTTCTTGTCCTAAGCTATAAATATTCTCCATTGTATCGTTAACTTTTATATTCAATTGTGTAACACTATAAAATACTACTTATATATATATATATATATAAATATATATATATATATATATGCAGACGACTTACGTGGTAATGTAGAAGAGCTTGATGTATACGCTAAACTTGTTGTTCCTTGATATGCACCAGATTGTTGATACCATGAAGACAAAGTACTAGTTAATGATGATGGTGGCGCTGGATTTGTTGTAGGATTAGATGATTGTAATAAACGTTGTTGTTGTTCTTGTGCTAAACGTGCAACAGCTAATGCTGTCGCTACACCAGGATTTTCTCCTGTACTACCACTACCACCACTACTACTATTATTATTATCATTATTACCTGGATTAGTTGTACCAGTGCTAGCTGATGTAGACATACTACTAATTGAAGTAGGAGCACCTGGTGCATTGCCACCTGAACTCAAATAAGCAGCCAGTGCTGATGCAGAAGTCGTAGTGGTAGTTGTAGCAGCAGCAGTAGTAGTAGTACTACTACTACTCGTAGTTGTTGTTGTTGCAATGGTTGTACTAGTTGTAATTTCTTCACTAGGTGTATGTGTATGCGATGAACTAGACAGCGTAGAAATAGTCACAGTCGATATAGATGTAGTAGTAGTACTAGTTTCATATGGTGTAGTAGTCACTGTACTACTACTACTACTACCACCACCACCACCACCACCAATTAACGGCATATCAACAGTATCTGTTGTAGCATTTGCATTACTAGACAATGTTGCACTTGAACAAACTGGACCAAATCGAAATAATCGAATACGATGTAAACTATCAGCAACCAGTAATTGATCAATTTGATTTTCTAAACGGTTATTATTATTACTGTTATTACTATTATTATTATTATTGCTGTTGTTGTTCATGGAATCATTTGCGGAACCATTTGAATGTAATCCATTTGTTGGTGAATCTGGTGCGCCTGGAGTAGTAGATTTATCCGGTGGTGGATTAACTTGTACAGATTCGGTACCATTCGGTAAAAGTATACTTGGTATTGGTGGAAAGATAGCTGCCATACTTTGTACACGATAACCTTCAACAACAGCAAGGACACGACCTTGTTCTTCTGTATCCTAAGTTGACAATGAATATGTGAAAAAATAAAAAATAAATATGCAATTCATAAACAAGCATGAATTATGGTTAACTAGTTTAATCGATGAAAATATAATACTATTAGTAGTAGTTTGTACAAACAGGTACTTACTATGCCTGAAAGAGCCCAGTAAATAAATGTTTACTTCATGAGATAATAGTATCTATACCTTTAAACACAAACAGATAGAAACGCAGAACTTCGTACGTTGTTGTTCAAGGTCTACAACCATCGGTTACCATCGTGTCGCGGACCCCCTTACATCTACCAGCATGACTCAGTCCACTTGTCAGTGACTTCATGGATTTGTGCCATGATTTGGTTTGGCCGCGCCTAGCTTTCTTCCAACCTACTCTTACACCAAAAAACATAGCTCGTCGCGGCAGTCGGTGGTTAGGCATAAGAGACAGACAGATACAACACAGAACTTTGTACGTAAGTACATCAGTTCAGGTTGCCATACCATATCAGCACAGAGACGCAACTGTCAATTCAAAACTAAGAGTGATAGCGATAGTAGAATTATTAGCAGCAACGGAGAAGATTATGGAGCGAAGATTTGATTCGAGAAGTATAATTCAGTGAGATGAATTTGTAAGGAGAAAGATAGATATTATGAGGAATTCAGAAGGTTAGAATTAGACAGAACAAAAGGGTGGATGCACCTGTGCCATTGTAAACGATTTTGAGCCATGTCATTCAAGGTCTCTAACCATTGGTGACTTTCGTCTCGCGGACAACAACCATATAGCCTACATCTACCAACATGACTCAGTCCACTTGTCAGTGACTTCATAGATTTCTGCCATGTTTTGGTTTGACCACCCCTAACTTTCTTCCAACTTACTCCTACACCACAAAACATAGCTCGTCGCGGCAGTCGGTAGTTAGGCACAAACACAAACAGATTACAATTTATAAATTCTGTTTACACTCTGTCTCCTGTCAAGTATTGAATAAGAAAAACATGGATAATAACAAAGAACAAATTTTAAAAAAATTTATTCTTAACTAGTTTTTCAAAAACTTACCATAACATAGAAGCTTCCTTTTAAACCACCAAAAGCTAGTTTACGACTATCAGAGAAAAATGAAGCAGTTGAATAGACATCTTCATCGTTTACTTTTTGACAACATAACTGTTGACCACTGAATACATCGAATACCAGGACAGAACTTTGTTCTTCTCCACAACAAGCTGCTAATCTGAAAAAAAACAAACAAAAAATAGGTTATTTACATGATTTAAGTTTTTAAGTAAATCGATTTTACACGATTTGAATAAATCTATGCTATCGACTACATTTTTGGTCAACTTTACTTCCCATTCTAGAATTGTACTATAGAGTGGAACTTGACATGCAACTTAACACTTTTCTATACAACTAAGATAAGATGTTTTTTTTACACTAGATCAGTACATAATCAAGGAAATAAATTAACCAGTGAAAGCTGGACGTACAAAAACAATAGCCCGGAAGTCCTTCATATTGAATTAAAGTATATATTTCATAGATAACTAGTGATAAAATGGTATTTATTTAAAAAGTGATGTGGTGCGAGCTACTTATAAGTAGTATATGACGTGAGTGTCAACGTAATGTCTGGCAGCAGAAGATGGGGGAAGATCAAGAAAGGAAGAGTTTGAACACAATGGAATTTGTATGAAACGCATGAATAGGGACAATGGATTGATGTTTTGCAACAGGAACAGTCCAGTTCGATATGATGAACTGATATTTTGCAAATGAACGATTTACGATATGGTTTTCCGATTTTACTGAGTAACTCTGTAATTTTCGTTAAATACAATTCGGTTGCCCCATCTGTGTTCTCCTTCACTACAGTGATACAGAAAAATCAATAGCGCTATGAAGGCAGGCAAAATATTAAATGTCATTGTATAGTAAGTAATTCACTGACTAAAATAGCCATATATTACAATTAGCAAAGATATGAATGAGTCTATATATTAATCAGAGTCTCACGCCATTGAGTGTGGTTTCATAATTAAAAGGATTCAGATAAGACTGTCAGTGATTTCATGGTTTGATATCGCATAGTATGAAGTGTTTCGTGATAAATTTTACTTTACAGTAGACATTGTAAAAAAAATTGTTAGGTCAGTTGACATCAATCATAGTGGGTGGTACGTTACGCATTTTAACACAATGTACAGTGTAGTGGTGGTTAAGCCCTCACATGGAACCCTCAAGGCAAAAGGAAAAGAGGAAGGCCAAGAAACACATTACGCCGAGAAGTAGAGAAAGATATAAGAAGAATGAACAAAAATTGGACAGAACTGGAAAGGGAAGCCCATGAGAGAGTAGGTTGGAGAATACTGGTCGTCAACCTATGTTCCAATGGGGGTAACAGACGTAAGTAAGTTTTCTTCTCCAAAATACTCCCTATTTGTAGCAGCATGATTATTTCGTTCCCGTTTTTACTGTTCAAAATATCTATAACAGTTATTAGCAGTCAGATTCTACAGTTGATATGTTGTTTGAAGTTTTATCGTTCATAGATGAGTAGTGCTCAGTGATTTCAACTTCAGACTAACTACACTCAATGAATTGAAATTCAGTTCTTTGTAATAATATGCGATAAAGTATTAGTAACTTAAGGGACAATTTCCAAAGACTCGATTCTCTTCTCAACGTTGAGTATTCTGTTAGGATTGTATTATTCATTGACGATTTGAGATTTAGACAATCGGTCACATCGTGGAACTTCGTACATGACATGAGTACATAAGTTCAGCGTACCATACTGCATCAGCACAAAGAGTAAACTGTCAATTCAAATCCTATAGTGTTAGAAATAGTAGAAATATTAGCAGTAATCGGAGAGATCAGGGTTCGAAGATGTGATTTGAGAAGTATAATTCGGTGAGATATCCTTAGAAACAGGAAGATATAGATGATGAGAAACTCAGGTTAGAATTTGAGAGAACACAAAGATTGGATGCACCTGAGCCACTGCAAACGATTTTGAGCCATGTCGTTTAAGGTCTCTAACCATTGGTGACTTTCGAGTCTCACGGACCCCAACTAGGTAGCTTACATTTACCAACATGACTCAGTCCGCTTGTGTCAATGACTTCACAGATTAAGACAATCAATCAGAGATTGGAATACATAAGGGTTAGTACATATTTGAAGTAATAGTCAATATAGATAGATGATATTCTTAAAACTAAAAACTTTAGTGGCTTAGTTTATGTGTTTATTAGACAGAATATCATAAATCATACCAATGTTTTAACTTACAACAACATAAACAGATGACGAAAAACAGATATGTTCAAAATAAAATATCTGACTGATTTTAACTAAAAAAAAACATGTAAAACATTTCGAAAGATTAAGTTTAGATTAAAGTTAAACATCAACCTGATTGATTAAATAAACATATATGATGACTGCAGTATATGACAAAAATTTTAAAAAAAAATATTATAACAAAATACTTTTTCGAATCAGGTGACCAACATAAACAGCCAATATATGCAGGTGTAGTTAATACTCGGAAAAATGAGACAGCATGTCGTACAGAGTCTACACGCCATACATCAACATTTGCATCTTTGCCACCAGTTGCTAAATAACAACCATCTGGAGAAAATTGACAAAACCATAAATCGGAATCTCTTTGATGATCCAATGTTTGAATACAGAATGCTGGGAAATCTTGCCTAGATTGAGATTAGGAATGAAAAATAACATTATATTACAATAAGTAGTTAGGCTACTATGGCATCATGGTTTCAATTAGGATTTTTGAATACACAAAGCAACATTGAAAGTTTATGGAGTCTGCTAAATAATTATACCTTCCCTATTGTGAAATATCCGAATGGCAAGCTGTAACACGATGCTATCTTACTCACGATTAAGTATCGGTTCTCATCATAATAATGAATGATAACCACAACATGGTGCTGACTACAGTTTTATGACATATTGAGTTAGTAAATAGAAGTAAATTGGTGAACTGAATGCTTCTTCTATGAGCGAAGTCAGTTAGTCATACGTATCGTTAAACCCAACATATATTCATTGGCTTAAGTTAACATATCACATGATATGAAATAATCAGGACGAATTCAAGCCGTAAAACTAGTAATAGTATCAGTAGTGATACGGAAGATTAGGTATAGAAAAGATATATAAGGAAATTTGGAGATTCATGTTCTATTGGGAAAGACAGAGTAAATACACCTGAACCATTATGAACGATTCTGTGCCATGTCGCTTAAAGTCTCTTAATCTTGGTTACGAAAATTACGTGAACTCCTAATCAGGTAGTCTAAATGTGTTAACAAGGTTTAATCTAATTGTCAGTGACTTCCATAGACTGTCATATTTTGGTTTGGTTACCCAGATTCTTTTCCAGACTACTTCTACACCAAACAACATCGGCATCGAAGTAGTCGGTGGTTAGGCATATGTAACACACTATGGCACAAACTAATGTGCCATATTTATCTAGTACCCTATGCGCAACCTCAACAATGCTCATTAAGTTGTCCCACAATACATCAGTGATGTTTCGGAGACACCTGCGTGAATACTCGTAGCCCACTAATATCCCCTGTCCTTGATGGTAATGTTTCACACCCATAAAGCAGCAGGGAGTGGACTACTGTATAGTAGTCCTTTGGTTAGCAGACGAATATCTCTTTTACTGCCCAAGTGATGCGAGTAGGTAAATGTCAATTGAGTTTCCTGAGTTCGAGTGGAGATTTCGTTAAACACTAGCCTATCAAAAACTGAGGGAACCTTCAAGATATGTGAGGTGATCGATTTATTCAACCATTTTACCGATTATCAACAATTCAAGAATTGATGCAGGCCAGTTGTGAAGTAATATTTTTCATCTCAGAGGAAAGAATCACAACCGAAACATGCTTGGATTGTTGCTTAAAGCGGTCAGGAGACTACATTTTCTCAGTGGAGTCTTCTGTGGGATCAAATGAGATGTTAGTAACTTAATATAATCCATTAACCAGGTACAAGCTAATGCACTTGGCTTTTAGTAGCATATAAAGCGAGGGCTAGCTGATAAGACTGGACAAGGTATAACAGAGTTTGGATTGACAATAAAACAACTGATAGTCATGCTTTTATTAATAGGCTACCACTACACAAGTAAAGTCATCCGACTGACTAAACCAGAATAGCAATAGGGAAGCATGAATATCCAACCCAATGTTTAGTCACATCAAGTCGTTGCACCAATGAGAACAAGATAGTGTGATTTAAATTATGAGTAAAAATGTTTGCGCTTTATTGAATTATCAAATGTGAACTTTTACAAAAAACAATCACTGGAGGCAACGATATGATGGTACAAGGTGTCTCTATATGTTATGGAGAAATAATACGGATTTAGCGTACTGATTTGAGTTATCGACGTTCACGTAATGCATGGCGGACTCCACATTGAATAGTTAAGCAATGTATCCCTAAACTTTATACAATAAATTCGGTTGAAATTTGATTTTACAGTCATGTACGTGATACGATAATAGAAATGAAACGTTGGAGAAACTAGGAGTAAAAAAGCTATTGAAAATGTACTAAAAAAAAACATTATCTAATCATGATGTTTGGTAACAATGCAGTTTTCGTCATCAAATAAAAGTCAAAGAGTTAAGCAGTTAATTACATGAAGTATGCCCTTATAAGTCAAACTGTGAGCTACACTAATTTAGTGTATGGGAAAAAGAACCCATCAGTTGATGCGTTTGATGTCGTTTTACTAGGTCAGTTGTGGATTTCTACTCTCTAGACTTTGTTCGCAAAGTCAATCCTCTTATTTCTAATACTATTCGTAAACGTTAGATGATAACACTGTTACTCTTATAAGAAACAAATATTGCGTGTAGATAATTTACATGCCACAAGAATGACGTTGTAATAATGATATATTATGTATATCAGTTTGAACACCCATTGGAGGATTATGAAATATGCATGAAGCTAATTGAGCACGAACAGATTCATTGATTAATTCTTCCAGTCTACCAGGTGGTAACATTGTTTGTGCTGGTATAAAAGCTTGTATTCTGTTGATTAATTGCAAACGACTGCCAGCATCTACACCAGCCCAACCACCTGCTTGTGCTTGTAGTTCAACAGCGGTTCTACACATTAGACAACTAAAATTTACAGAGAAAAAAGCAACAACAACAACAACATTGAAACCAAAACTTTAAGTAAGTTAAAGATATAAAACAGTAAGATGAAATTACTCATTGTTATAGATGTAATATGGATTTAGTCAGTTACAACGTAGAACTTCGTACGTACGTACGTACGTACATCAGTTCACGTTGCTGCTATAGCACATCAGCACAGAGACGCAATTGTCACTTCAAATCCCATAGTAGTAGAGGTAGTAGAAGTATTAGCAATAATCAGAGGGATTATGGTTCGAAGATTTTACTCAACAAGTATAATTTGATTAAATAAACTTAAAAAAAGAGAAAAATAAAGATGATGAAGAGTCTAGAGGATTAGGATTTAAGAGAAGTCAAAGAATGGATTCATCTGTGACATTGCAAACGATTTTGAGCCATGTCTCGCATACCCCAACCCCGTAGTCTATACTTAACAACATGACTCAATTCAATTGTCAGTGACTTCATGGGTTTGAGCCATGTTTTGGTTTGGCCGCCCGTAGCTTTCTTCCAACATACTCCTACAATGCTCGACGAGGCAGTCGGTGGTCGCGCATTCATAACACATGTCCCAACCACTTCAGCTGACGGAGTTTCAATAATTCATCTATTGATCTGCCATCCGTACCTAATACCCGTTTACTAACAACAGCATTGTTGACTCAGTGGTCCCAAGATATACGAGCAATGCTTCAAAGACATTTATGATCAAAAACCAGTACCAAGTATCCTTTACTCTGACTGGCCATGTTTCACAGCTATAAGGTAGGAGGGAGCGAATTAATCTGCGGTAGACCTTTGATTAGAGGAGACGGATATCTCGCTTACCCGTGACGCAAGATGGTAAAAGCCGAAATCAATGTGATGGAGTTTCATTCTCTGAGCTGGATGTTTTAGTTGTGGAGCTTTCATAGTTCTGCTTCTGGACAACATCATCAGCAGAAATTTCCGAGAGAAGTGAAGTATTCGAATTTCTCCGCGTTTGAGATCACAATTTTTACTTACTAGACTGATATTTAGTGAGTGGTATGTTTTGGATTGATAACAAGACTTAGTGTTTAGAGTTATATCGTTTCAAATAACACTCTACCTACTACCCTACACTACCAACAATTGAGAAAAACAGCTACTTTTGGTAATCACTGGAAAAAAGCCTGACTTAATACATGCAAGCTATCAAGCGGTAGATCTAAAAGAGGCTCTTTGATGTATTTTGAGTTTACCTGAGTGCTATTAGAAACCTAGAAACCATCATATCTATGGTGGCATAAGGAAAACATCAAAATTTATCATAATTTCGGTTTATTTCGTGATTATTTTGCAAACATATTTTTAAAGTCTCTTGTACTGGATATACTTTGTTCATCTATTTAAGTTTGTGCATTACAGTTCAGTCAGTCAGTCAGTTGCAACGTAGAACTTCGTACGTATGTACATAAGTTCATAATGCCATACCACATTATTAGCACAGAGACGCAAATGTCAAATCAAATCCCATAGTGATAAAGATAGTAGAGGTATTAATGTTATAATAAAGAAGACTAGGGTTTAAGATATTATTCAAAAAATATAATTCAGTGAGATAAGGTTAGAAAGACAAAGGTAGAGGTGCTGGCTAATCCAGAAGATTCGGATTTGAGAGAGCTCAAAGAGTGGATGCACCTGCGCCATTGCAAACGATTTTGAGCCATGTCGTTCAAGGTCTCTAACCATTGATGACTTTCGTCTCGCGGACCCCAACCAGGTAGTCTACATCTACCAACATGACTCAGTCCACTTGTCAGTGACTTCATGGATTTCTGCCATGTTTTGGTCTGGCCGCCCCTAACTTTCTTCCAACCTACTCCTACACCACAAAACATAGCTCGTCGAGGCAGTCGGTGGTTAGCCATACGTAACACATGTCCCAACCACCTCAACTCATGAAGTTTCACCACTTCATCTATGTGCATTACAGTTACTTGCCGATTATCATTTTTGAGGTTGTTTTTCTTTTCTGTTCGCTCAAGCTGAGGTAAGTCAGATCTCAAAATTATTAATGTCTGAAACTGACCGTGGAGTTTAGCTTGATTTCATATATAATAATGACGCCTTTAAGCACAAATATGGAGATACCGCATACTAACACGTATACATCAGTTTAAGTTACTATACCCCATTAGACCAGAGAGATAAAATTGTCAAGGTAGTCAGATTAATAACAGTATTAGTGGTAGGAGAAAAAATGAGCCCGGAGATACGATTTGAGAATCTGAGGGATGATAAAATCTGGGCCTTTGAGAATGATCTTGATCTTGAGTAAGTCAAAATTTTTAACTCGGACTCCAACCACCAGGTAGCCTGTATGTATTTACATAGTTTAGTTTAATACCGTCTAAAACATTTGAAAATTCGTGCGATATTACATTGAAAAGATGTTAATCAAAACATTGCAATTACCTGGCCAGAGTATGCACCCGTTCAGTATTACGTTGCATAGGTGTAATACGATTACGCAAAAGAGTAACAGCAGGCATTACTTCATTGGCTTCCAGATGTTCTAGAAACTGTTGTTCTAATACCAAAAATCGAACTTCTTCAACACTATTCAAATCCCCTATCATTGGTGCTAACTTGTCTATTGCAGCTTCAGCCTATTCGAATGATAAATGGATAATTGATGTAATGGAATTGTTAATCATACATACATCTTTTAGAAAGCCAAAATAGTAATTAGAAAGGACAAGGAGATAGAGTGTGCCATCAGTACAACTTATCCATGCAAACTTTAAAGACAAAAACACAATTAACTAACTGTGGAAACCGATCAAGAGTAGTTTACAATCCAATCAAACATTATAGAGAACTTTTCTTAACATATCAATAAGATAATTAGGTGATTATTTTACAACCATTCAAACCAGATAATTAGTTTGCTAGTGTAGAACGAAAGCTTTTAAGCTATCATCAAAAATAATGTTCAAATTTGTACAAGAAGTCTAATTTATCGACGACTGTTATTGCATGTCTTCACAAAAGACGAAGATGGCCAGTATAACGCTCTATAAATTGATACATCGGACACTGATTTCCTAAAATGACTACATTTATTCAACTTAAGGTTTCCGGTGATTATGGTTTCAATTACTGGATACCTTTATCAATATCCGTCAAATGTGCTCAGACATTAGGGTTCACAGAACTCAGCTTTTAAAGATATTGAGCTTTCAAAAAGTAGCTAGTAAGATCAGTGTGGTCGTGTGATGTAAAGTCTGACCAGATCTACAACAAAACCAAAAAACTTATTAAATCGATACGCCTAGTTAGGTGGAAGCATAACTAGAGTAAGTTTCAAACAGTGTCAGGAACTTTCCATATAAATATCTTAGTTGCTTTAAAATAAAAAAGTTGAAAATTGCTAGATAACTCATAGGCATTCAGGAAACACTTCAAAAAATGCAGGTAGATGATTCTAAGCATACTAAATACTTAATTCTCCTTCGCAGTGGTTTTCCAAATTCTACTATAACATGCTAAGCGGTCATAATCACCTGTATATAGTTAGTAACAACCAAATCATAATTGGTGGTCTAGATAGACGAGTTCCTTTGAAATTCTAACTAAAAGAAGTAGATATAGTGACACTTTGAATGGTAACTCCAGATTGACGTCGGTTTTTCCCATCAACTACATCGAATACGGTGTGCGATTGAAAATCATTTTGAAGTTGATCTATAGGGTCATATCATTTATGAACCATACCAAATTCTCAATACAAAATGTTAATTGTAGGGATACTGCAAGAGATTGACTTACATCACACCATCTACCTTCCAAAATAGCGTGACGTAACTCTGTTGCATCGTTGTGCTCCAAGGTGATACCAGACTCTCTGGAAAGCTGCGTATATGTGCCACTAAAGTAGGTGTCAATATATTATGTATCGTACTTAAATCCCTTGTCACAGAGATATTGGCCTATAAGGCGTAGCATTTCCTCATCACGAACTGAAAGGATCTTTGATCTAGTAATAACGTAGTCGTTTTTAATTGCAGCAACGCCATTGAATTGGCCATATAGCATATCACCATTTTGCTCCAGCATAACTTCAAACCTATGGTGGACTACAGAAAGTCCAACCAGTAAAATAGGATGTACGATGAACTGGTAAACCGTCAGTCAACAGCTGATCCGAATTCCTTTGTTAGTTTAAACGAGTGTCGAGTGTTCAATACCTAGTTTCGTTTGAAATTAGTTTAACAAATACTGTGAAAAAAAGTGGTAAAAACGCACAGTTCTTAGGCTAATATAAACTGTGAACCAATACAAACTTGAAGCGTTATTTGCATTAGCTAGTAACTCAAAGACAGTTTCGATTTTTGTGATTCGCTTTTTCGTTACGTCCAGTAAATACGGAAGAAATGGAGGCCTATAGTTTTATTTATCAAGAATCTCTCAACAATGCGGTAATACTTTAAATGGATCGAGGAAACCGATTGTCACTATACATTTAAGCTAAGTTAATCTGTGACGCCTCAACTCTAATACCAGTAGTTAGACCCCAATCCGCTAACTCTGAATTAGTGGATATTTTATATACTCCCAGAAGTTGCCCTTGTAATCAGTTACTTTAAGTTAATCAAATTATCTGTGACTTCTCTAGTAGATTCCAGCTACTAAAACGCTGTTCCCAAAGGATAAACAGTTCACTAACTCTGTCTAACAAAGTTGGACTTAAAGTTACGCATGCGCACTAGATCACCTTTAGGTATGTGTCTCATTTGCAACTGGTGGCCAGCCTAGGTATCATGATTCTCAACATATCGATCACGTACCACATGCATCTCCAATCTATTTCGTTCCGACTTTTTTTGGCTCAGTTAGAGAGATGTTACCAACAAAGCGTTGTCAAACCACGAGCGCACATAGCATCTTCATTTGTGAGGATTGTTTAATATAGTATGCTAAGTGAAAAATTATCTGTTCTTTATTTAACGCTATATGTATACGTGATTTTGTGTTTGTTTTCAGAGTGCTTCTAGTTTTCATATGCTTTTTTTATTATGTCCGGGAAGATTTGGATTCCAACAGCCATCTTCTTATTTCTAACTCAATTCTGGTTTGACAATATTGAAGCCTGGTTCTGCTCTTCAGAGGTTGATTTGACCACGAACAGTGAGACAGAGTGATGCGTGCAAATTTGTAGAGACACTATCGCCTGAGTGAACAGAAGTTGTTTGATAGTAATAGTAAACTGTCTGTTTGTTGTGTCCCATTCCCTGGTTCTAGGTAATTCTCGGTCACGATCACACACGTTATTTATGGCTTCTTCCAAACAATAATCGACAAGTACCTGAAGCTGTGAGAGACATGACTGTGGGAATGTTAATCATTACATTATGTCAAGAGGACTACTTGTATTCACAAAAGCTTGTCAACTAGCTCCGGAAAAGATAATGATGGTAAAAATCGGATTCCGCCGTATGAAAAGTTCAGGAATTATCCTGTCGTTAAGCAACCCATTGCCATTCCCGTTTCACGTAATCCCTAAATAGGACAAAAATGACTGGCAACCAAGCAGTGAGTATCAGCGACTTAATAAGTCTAATCGTTACTCGATGCTGTATATCCCAAGCTTCGCAACAGCCTCCTCAAAAATAGAATTCGTTGTAGACTCTTTTTCGAAGGTTTTGTTTTTGGAAAATCCCTCCATATATATATATTTGTGTTATGATATGACTGACTCTTTCTGTAGACATTTTGGTACTCTATTTGATTCCATTTTGAGATTTTATCATTTGTATCTTGTTATTATTTCTATATTTTGTACTTATATTGAAGTTTTTATGTCTCCTTCTGAACTACACATATGTTGTTTAAATTTGGTATTTAATATAGCTACAGCCATATTTGGATTTGATACTCTAGCAGTAATGGACTGGAAGCACTTATTCTTCCAGAAACGGATACGCATTGTGGTAACTGGAAACTTGAAGGTGTAATATTGTTTTGGTAATTGTCTGAATTTCCACTTTTCATTAAATACAGAATCGTTCTCTCCCAGAATTATCGTTTTTGGATTTGGACTGGGTGAAACGTTCACTATTCGAGCCGGAGCGAACTGCAAGAG